TCTTCTTGGGCTTCGGCTCGGACTTCTTGCTGGAGGCTTTGGCGTTCGGAGCGGAGGGCTTCTTGGTACTGGCCGATGGCTTTCTCATAGCAGCCTCGTTGGGACTGGAAATGAATGTGTAATTAAGAGAGGATGTCTAACGCAGGAACCAAACTTCGAGATTACTTTTTTTCTTTGGACCTCTTCTCCAGAGGTCTCTGATAGCTCGTCAACGGTCGTGAACACGGGCATGGCTCAAAACTTCTATCACATCTACCAGGCTAGGGCAGCCACCTTGTTTCTGCACAATTGCGAAGGCATGGTGAAGCATTGAACGGATTTCAATGCGCAACTCTTTTGCGCAGCAATGCTGCAGGAAATTTTCCCATCGTGGACACAGGTGCGAATGATGGGGTCATGGTTCGCCCGAGGCCCTGAGTAAGCTGACCAAGCAAGCGTGGTCTCTCATGAAAACTGCTTTTAAAAGGTGAGAACACACAGTATTCTGGCACAGGAAAATGGAGAAATGCTGCGGAGCTGAGCTGCTCGTCACTCCACAAGTTAAGGAATTAACATTCCAATTATGAGCATAATAGGCGAGCACAGCTCCGAGGTGAGCACGGGGCAAACATGTGCAAGGGGCAGCACATTACGCTACTTCTTTTTTCAGCCAGGTATCTTCCTCTGATTTCGAACCGCCCCGAGCACATTCTGCAGGATGCCGGCTGTGTGAGCTTGACATCAAATGGCGCAAGAAGTTTAGGGTGTGGGGCTGCTAGGGGGATAGAATTGCGCAGACTCATGTTGCTTCTTTGGAGAAATACGTTTTCTTTTCAGCCCCCAAAACACCCTATCCTCGTCAGTCGGAAAGCTTGCACCACGTCTGCGCTGGCAAAGTCAACTGGCACAGCCAAGTAAATCTTCGGCTTGACCGCCATGATCTTTGCCGGGTTCGCATTCACCTGCACCTGTCAGCACAGGGCCCACTCTGGCATCAGAGAATCAGCTCCTGACTATTCGTTCGCAGAGTGCACTTGGGTTGAAAATTGCATCAAATTCACGGGCCTCCCAGCACAAGCTAGCCTGATTGTTGCGGGGCACTTTGTTGTAGTTGTTTGCGAAGAGGGCGCCCAAGGCCACTGGGCGGATGCAGTCGGTGGCTGCATTGGGACCCAACTCATTCGGCTTGAAGAGACAGGTATTGCAGCTCACGGCGGGCGCCACGTTGTACCTGAACTCAATCTCCTGCGTCTGACCGTCAGCAGCCTTGGTTAGACAAATAAATATTCACTTCACGGCAGCCTGTCATGCTCAATTACAAAGATGACTGGGGAAATGCTGTCAAGGGTCAGCAGGCCGCGCCTTCGGGGTGAGCAAATGGGACTCGAGGTCAAAGGACGCGAGGCCATCCACGGTTGCTTTCTCCCTGAGGAGTTCGCAGAGTGCGATCGGCTTCTTGTCCACTGCCACATACGCGCGGTCGTCGCGTAAACGCCACACCAGGCCGGCTGCTTCTTCATGTTCATTGACTGAGCGATTTGGGACGGGAAACTTCTTCTTCATACATGTTACAGTCTTTCCGAAAAAACTTTAAGGGTCTCGGCTTCAGGAATGTGAGTTTCACTTTCAAAGCTACTGTTCGTTCAATTCAGGGCACACACGTTAGACCCAGTTTTGTGGGAAACGACTGCTATTGCAGATCGAGTGGCCCACAACCTGCTGGCGGTAGCCGCCTGTCCCGAAGCCAAGCAGCTCCCCAGCCTCTGTGACAAGCTCGTTCGGTGTCAAATTACCCATCCACAGCTCATACTTGTCGCTGATCATCAAGGAGATCTTTCCCGGCCGCAACGGCGTGGATCCCAGCCTACAGCACGCAGAAGTGGGGCAGGGCTGGGCAGAATTGGGGGGGTCCGTTCTTCAACTGCAACTTGAAAACGCAATATGCCACTAATGACAGCCTAGCTGCGGGGTCTCGCTGAAGTCAGCCACCGGAACAACAGCTGGGTTCACTGCACGTTGGACGTCAGCAGGAGGGCCATCTGCAGTGTAGTCGCATACACCGTGTACTCGCCGCTCGCCTGTGGCACTGCTGCTCGAGTTCCTCCTCTGGATCGGCGCAGCCTGCGGAAACTCAGCCTGGAATTTCGCCTTGAGGTCCTTCAAAATTTCACTTTGCTCGGAGCCGGGCGGGAATTTGCTGTCCAAGTCTGGAGGCCACACAGGCTGCTTGTCCTGCCACGCCAAGAGCTCAAGGCTGACTGTAGGCTCATCACTCCCCTCAGGTCGCGGTCTGCGCTTCGGCGGCGCCACGGTGCTTTCATCCCAGTGAGCATACACAGCCTGGCTCATGTGGTTCTTGACATCGCCTGCTTGCTCCGGCCGAAGAACCCCTGTGTAGCGTAAGAAGGTCTCCGCATTGGCCTCAAGCATCTTCTGCAGGATGGCCTTGCCGAACTCGCACTGCCTGGATTTTAAGTAATGTTGGCCCGCGGATATGGACATTGTGGTCTCACTTCAAAATTCTCCACCCAATACTCCTCAACACATGATCCGAAATCCCAAACCCTACCCTCAAAGCTTAAACCCGACACCCGAAACCGCGAAGCCCTGCATATTAAGCGACTACTCATCCTCAGAATCTGTAGTTGCCAAATATTGCACAGGAACCATCACTGGCAGCCCGCATGGACACGAGCGCCTAACAAAAGATAACAATTCAGACCAGAAGCCCATTGGGAACCAGATCAACCACAACCAATCGATCCTCTGGACGAAAATCCATGTTCTGCAAGTAGCCCTCCAAAATGCGTTGATGGCAAGGAATGCCTTTCCTTGCATTCAAGTGGAAAGTTTGAAAACATGTTATGTCTGCGCACACACACACACGACACACACACGCAAGACTTCTGGACAAGCAACTGCTCGATTCTGGCACTCGGGCTGGGCCGGTTGGTTTCGTCGAAACCCACCATGTCAGCAACCCGGATCAACGGCAGCGGGCCGATCCTGCCATCCTGCATGGCCTGGCTGTTCTGCCACACGGATGCGCTCGAGGCGCCAGAGGGTGTCATGAGGCAACACTGCACCAAGGATCTGCGATCTGACGAGTTGCCCTCGGCTGGTCTGTCGAAGAGGAGCACTAAGTGATTGTCAACGGACAGCTTCTGCTTCAGCAGGAGATCTTCCACAGTTCTTCGGTTCTTCGTAGCTGTGGAGGGGGCCATGGCTCGATGTGACATGGGCAATTGCACATGCCCAAGGCTGCCGCTTGAACTGGCTATCAAGGAGGCCAGCATCTGGACGACCTCCTTGAGGTAGTCCACGTTCGCTGGCAAGACTGTCAAGTCCAGCAAGGCAAGGATGTACCTGGAATGTTTTAAGATGAAAAGGAAGGGTGGGCGGTTTCGGCTTGGGTCAGGGTGCATGGGTTGTTTTTTCCTGCGGGTGAAGGATTTACACGGGAGGTCTGAAGGATGAGTACTGCCTGCAATATTAAAACCAACTCAGCCCCAGAATGCATTCTCATGCAGCACTGGCTTCAAGCAGGAGAGCTTGTGAGGTTTGAGACTAGGACCTACGTGCTTCAGCAAAGCAATCATGACCCCTTTGCTAGAGGTTATTTCTAGCATGCTCCAACAACATGCGCGTCGACTATGAAAGAAATGTTGGCTTGCCACCACTGCCAGGATGCAACTTGCCAGCCACACCACGGAACTGGTCCATGAACTTCAGGATATTGGGCAACACAGACCCACAGCTGAGGTCTGCGGGCAACTCATGAAGTTCGCAGAACTTGCCCATCCACTCAGCCGTGAAGTCTTGGCCTTTCCTGCAGGCCGCAGTGACAAGATGTGCAAAGTTCTGCGGTCGTGCGTGCTGCGGACAGCATGGCAAACAGAGTTGGGGGTTTAGGCTTACCGTGTACTCTGCTGCGGCGGCACTTCTGCCGGTCGCGAAGATACTTCATATCCAGCGCTGTCTCTTGCGCGCGCAGGACATGGTGCGGAAGACGAGCCCGCAAGAGGAGTAGATCAGATTCCAAGAGGCCCTTCAACTGCGCAAGGGTTGCATCACGCACCTGCTTGGCCCGGGCTGCATTCTCGGCATCCTTCTGGTCTCGCTGCGTTGCGTCCAGCTGGGACACGAAAGTCCTGGCTGCGGGCGCTCTAATTTATGGGATGAAGAGTGAAAAGCTATTATTGCAAGGGTTTAGTGTTCGGTTTGTCAGGTTTCAACTTCGGGGCTGAGGCTATGTCCGAACGACCTGAGGGGTATTCAGAGCTGAGAGGATTATTGCTCTGCGCTCAAGACCGTGAGAAGGATTTATCGCGCCTGAATGCTGGCACCTCGTCCAGTGAGGCAGGCGGCACAGCAGTTTCCAGCACGTTCACCAAAGAGCTGTCAAGATACCCATACAAGAACTGATGTCTCAGCTGCTTCTCCATGTCTGGAAAGGCTGCTGATGGAGCTCGCGCTTCCAACATTCGAAGGAAATGAAGAAAGGCTCCACAACACGCATGCTTCTCCACCATCTCCTTGAAGGTACTGGCCTGGCAAGAGCACACCCTAGAACACGAACTTAGAAGCAAGCCTTGGTGGGACGCGGCCTTTCTCAGGGGGGCGGGTGCAAGGTCGAAGTCATGCTGGATGCGCTCCACGAGCAGGAGAGGCTTGGTGAAATGTTTCATTTTCAAGCAGGTGAGCCTATTTCAGTACCGCTGATGGATCACAAGCAGGTGAGCCTATTTCAGTACCGCTGATGGATCAGACAAGCAACGATGGCAGCAGAGCCAGGCACATTGGTCAGAATGTCTTTCCAGGCTTCTGTGCTTTGCATCCCCGACGAGAACCCATTGGAAAAGATCTGCCGCGCGATGCATTCGTGGGACACGAACCTGGTCATCCCGCGTTGCTTGACTGAGCTCAGTAGCTTGTCCTTCACAGACAAATGCACATTCGTCAGCAATTGGCTGACAGCGCCGGCTTCATTCTTGCCAATCTGGAACGCACGGGCCACTGCAGTCTGGTTGTGCCAATCCTGCAGCGCAAGACACATGGGTTACATGAACAATGCATGAGAAGCCTTCACAAGCAATTGCGCAAGCGCCCCTTATGTCCTCGAACTGCTGCTCGGGTGACCCTGCCCCTGCCCGTTGCAAGATCACAATCTGCCGTAAAAAGTGGAACGCGTTGGGAGGCTTCCGCGTAGCGTTGCTGACCAGCGTCACTCCTGCGATCATGTGTGAGCCAAACCAAATTGATTGCTCGCATAACTTGGGTTCGGATGATTGCTTATGAAAGTTGGTGTGGAGGGCTGCAAGTTCTGAGCGGTAATGCACAGCACGTCGCCTCGGGAGGAGAGCACTTTCGACCGCACGTCTTTAAACGCCCCGAAGCTGCAGTGGATCGTGGCCATGGAAGCCTCATGTGTGCAATGACTCTTACGGAAAGGTTGAGGGTTAGGGCTTGAGGACGGGGGCTTCGTGTACAAATTGATCATGCACTGTTGGTCTAGCAGGGTCCAGTGGAGTCTAGCGGCGCGGATCCTCTGGGGGATCTCGGCTTCCAAGCCCAAACAACGGATTCCTTCGAGGCACATCAGCATGGAAATCACTCGTTTCCATCCTTTGACGTAGCCGATGGAGAATGGCTTGAGAAGAGAACCTCAGTGGGAGGTTTGGGTGGGTGCCTCAGTAGTACATTGTAGGGTGTCAGGCTCAGGAGAAATGCAGATGGGCTGCTGCCACTCACCAGGTCAGGGAGCTCGACTGAAGGACTGTCTAGAAATTCGGGAGGTGGCACCGTCAAGGCCAATTTTTCGACCCCCACGAGGTCAGGATCCGACAGGAATCTGATACAAATTGCAACATGACGAAATTATGTTATCTTCAGACGCATGCTTCCTCGGCCGAGCGGCCCTTCCGTCAGCATGAGCTCCATGAGAAGTTCGCATATCTCTGGGTCAATAAGACCCGAGACAGCGAAGTCTGGTCGGAAAGCCAATTGCCACGGGCGCACAAAGCGTGCATCTTCTCCAGTCGCATATGCCTTCCTAGGAATCGGAAGCTAAAGACCACTAACAGCATAAGCACAGATACCTCACATGCTTTCCATAACCCTTCGCACTCGCCCCGCAATGCTTGCAAGTGACGTCCCATCTGCCGGCAGGAACGTGTCCATCCACTTCGCCCAATCCATCAGATCAGCCTAAAGATGATATGGGTAGGAATGGGGGAGAAGTTGCTACATGGGAAAATGCAACACAGACTTCAAACTTCACATTCTGCAAGGAAGGCGCACGCTTCTTGTACTTCTTTGCCAAGTACTCATCCGGCGAGCCGGCGGCCATCACAGTTTCACGGAACCTCACATAAAATAACATTGACAAAATAGCAGCACCAAGCAGCAGGAGGTGAGGCTTGCAACGAAACAGCAACCAATTAGACGGGTCAGACTGGCCGAGTAGCCAGGCAGTGATTTGAGGCACATACGGGTACTGCGCAAGCTTCGCAGGGTCAAGCCTAGCGGATTTCGCATTGCCGCCCTGTCCAGAGGCCTTTGCGCCGCCACCTGCAGCCTTGCGCTTGGAACCCATGGCACCACGAAGTAGCAAACAGCCTCTTCGGGCAAAGAAACCCAAGAACACCTGTAGACGCACACAAGCCCTGACATGTTCAAGCTGCCTGCCTGACCCCAACTTGGTGAATCCTGCTTGAAATTTAGCGTGGGGGGATGCAGTGCCTCAGCTCACAGATCTACAGCCCAAAGTGGCAGCAAATTTAAAGCGAGTTTGCGCGTGCGCAGTTTTCCAGCCTAATGTGGTGATGCCTTGCAAAGACTAGTCTTGAAATGTGACAGCGCAACACACAGCCTGGGCGACTCTATGGTTTCTTGGCACACGAAACTGGCCAGTCAAGCGAACATTTTGTCTTGGGCATTGCGCATGCCTGCTTGTGTCCTGCGGAATCTTCTACGGTCCAGTCGACCTGCCCATGACTCAAGACACGAACTAATATGAGTCGGAAAGATTCATGGGGTCTTGCCACTACCTCATTCACCAGATTAATTGCAACTGCCTTCTTTCAGACACTTTTGCAGTCATAATGATGAATTCTTAGATCTGCAGCTTACGGTTTAGAGGCTACTGAGATCACTGCTTTCGGGAGACACGACTTGGGCTTTTTATCAGTTTTATGATTTTGGAAAACAATCACAAACAAACACGCATGTGGTACTTTCTCAAAGGACAAGGCTTCTAGGCGCAGACAGCCTTCCCGAGCTTGGGCAGCGAACGTCCTGCTTGAAGACGTGTCACCTGCGCAAGAATGGGTTTGGGGTGTTTGGCTTCGGGCTGAGGCTTAGGGCTTCAATCTTAAGTACGCTTCAGGAAAATGCTGCTAACACAGGCTCCATGATATTCCCTGTCTGCGCGTGGCAGTACTGGATCCCCACAATACAAGCGTCATAGCTAGCAACTCCTTGTGTTACTCCTATCAAGAATTACTGAAGGTCCTTCTGCAGCTTCCAACGCGTTGCAAGTGAAGATGCATGGGATTACTGGGTCAACGAGTTTAGTATGTGCTCTGACCATGTTTGCATTGTCCGCACAACAGTCCGGGCTAGACTCTGCATTCCAGTCACAAACATAAGACAGCAGAAAAGCTGCACCTGAAGCGGATGCTGAAGCCAAAGACACATGGCGCCTGTGCGGGATAAGCTTCAGCGGCCATTAAGGTCGGCGTCAGGGTTTCAGGTTCTGGACATTAAATAAGGGTTTCTATACAACAAATATTCACGGATTAGGGATTAGGGGGGGGGCAGGCTTCAGGGTCCAAGCTTTAGATCCTAAAAGCCCAAGTCTCAGTTTTC